CTCTGGACATCTCCGGCGCGAGTGGGGCTTGGTGACATATTTTGTAAAAGATGTCATTTACAAAATAGCCAGCGCTTGCTGGAAGAATGGGAGGTTTGGGGGTTTGCGCCATGGGGATGGAGAGGGGAATAGGGACGAGCCGCCTGCATCTTCTGAGTGGAGACAACGTCTAAACACCTAACCCGAGAGGGTTAGTTTGTTTCTGAGTTCGGGTCCCTTCTCTGCCAGTAGCTCACGGTGTGACCTTGAGCAAATCACCACCACTCAGGGGCAGAGCTTCCTCAGCCTTAAAATGCCAGGACTGGCACTTGATCCCCGAGATCCTTTTAACTTCGATCACCCTATATTTTAAAAAAATTCCTTCGGGGAGGGGTTTACTCCCAATCACCTTCCTTCCCCTCTCGCTTCAAATGTCGCCTCCTCCAACATAGGCTCTTTCTACCCACTGTCACCAGTTTCTTCAGCAATCTGGTCCCCTGGTTGAGCTTGCCACACCCCTCTACTCTGCCTCACAGAGGTGGTCTTTCTTCCTGTGTGTACTCTCCCCCACACACACTAGCATCCAAAAGGTGCCAGGGCCAATGTAAGGTGTAGAGTGGGCTGCACAAAAACAGATCCCCTTCCCCGAGCAAAGATCTCCATCATGGCAGCCCCAGCCCCGTGTACACGCGCGTGTGCACGCGCACGTGCGCGTGCACACCCACCCACCCCTGCATTCATGGACATAAAACCATCCTAGTGACGCCAGAGCCCCTTTCATCTTGGGATCTCCCAGGCCAGGCAGAGCTCTAATTACCCCAGCACCCCCCCTGGCCCCGCCGGTTCCCCCGCTGTCATTAGCTCAGTTTTACCAGCGGGGGCCACAGCCTTCCCACGGCTCCCAGGGCGGGGCCCTGTCTCCACAATCCTTGGGGAGGTGTGTGTGTGTGTGTGTGTGTGTGTGTGTGAGTGAAGGGAAGCTACTCTATCAATCACCCAGTTTATACTGGGCAGATCACTCACTAAGTGTGGGGTTTGACCAACAGACTGAGTTGGGCTGCCCCTGCTCATCTTAGCCACCTGCTTCTCAGGTCTGTTGGAGTTTCTTCTCTTACTGGGGGTGTTGGGGGTTGCAATGTGTGGGGGAGGGGAGGTGCCTCTCTGGAGTCCCCTGGATGAGAAGGGCTGCTGGTCTGAAGCCCAGGGGGTGCAGAATGGGATGATGGCATGCAGTCATGGGTGAGAACGGTGGAGGGGTGTGCAGTGGGTCAAGGGAGCCTGCAGTGTGCAGTGGTGGCTGCAGCAGAAGCAATATAAGCGGCAGTGTGCCGAGTCAGCATGCAGTAAGTGAACCTCTGGGTTCAGCCCGCGCTGGCAGTGGACATGCAACAGCTGCAGTGTGGGGCCCAAGCTGCTGCTTCTGCAGAGCCAGGACAGTGTGCAATGCGGGGTGCATGGAGGGTGGCTGTCAGCCACCTCCCCAGTGATCAGGCTGAAACCCTGAGGAGCAGGGCTGCGGTGTGCGGTGTCGGGGTATGTGCTCTACTTTGTGTGGAAACAGTCCCTTGGGATAGGGCTGCCCAAGGAGTTGGGAGAGAATCCCAGTGCATGAGGCATTAATGAGACAAGAGCCACATTTGTGCTCTGCACCCACTCCCACAGGCAGCGGAGAGGTCTAGCAGTGATCTGGATTAGGGCAGGGGGTTTGGGTGGGGCGGTGAAAGCACTGTGACTTCGTGTCCCCTCCATTCTGGCTCTCCCTATCATCTATCTGCTGAAAAGTCCTAAAGTTATGGGACAGGCTACTTTTTGAAATCCCAGACCCAGAGCCACAGAAAATGAACTTTCTCCAGATCCACCTTTTCCCCAAGGGCAGAGTGGGGACACCTTGAGTGGGAAGACAAGCCTCCACCCTGCTCATCTCCTGTTCCTGGGCTCCTGCTATGGACTGGTAATAGACCTGGGCAAAGGCAAAGTGAAAGGCACACTGTCTCCAAGCAGGCATCGCCCTAGATGCCAGGAGCCTGTCCAGGTCCCTGCCTCTAGCCTCTGCCCTGTGCTATGTCATTCCCGCTACATCCCACTTATCCCCATTTCCCGAAGTTAGCTCTTTTCAGACACATTTCATCCCCACTTCCTGCGCTCTCCTCCTTGTGAAGCCCCCACCCAGGCTGTTCCCTCATCACCCCCTCCTCTCTGCTCCAGGGCTAAGTCCACAGGGACAGCAGGAGGGTGGGGCACAGTGAGGACAGCGAGAGACCCTCCAAGGATGGTTCCCTCCCTCTTAGATTTTGGTTGCCAAGGAGGCAGCAGGAACAGCTTGTTCTCTGGGCTCCCATCAGAGCAGCTAAGCCCAAGCCCCTCCCTTTCTTCCTCCTTCCTCCTCTCCCTCCCAGTCTGTTGCTAGGAAGCACCCCAGTATTTCTCAAGGGTCCCAGCCTTAGAATCCAGGGGGTCCAGACAGCTTTCTGCAGTGCTTCCCCCAAATGCCTGGAAGCTGAGACTCCACACAGCACCCTCCGCCCTCTGCCTGCCTGCCAGGACTAGCTCCCTGGCCTGGGCCTTAGGAGTCCTCCATTTCATTTGATCTCATGGGCTCTGTGTGATGTCAGCAAATGAAGAGGTGTCTCACAGATACCCCTTGACTCCGTAGACACAGTTCCAATTATTGGGGGAGTTCAGGAACGATAGAGGAAATGGAGGTACCACTAGCTAAGAGAAGCTATAACCCCAGTGATCTCCCCCTCGTGATCTTTCAACCAAGAAAAGATGGTGGAAATGGAAGAAAGCAAGGAGGACAGTTTATGGGATTTGGAGATCAAGTGGCTGGCAGAGATGAGAGACTGGGAAATTAGCCAACAATTACCCTGTTAAGAGTAAAGTGGCCACTTAATTCCTCCTATCAATCACCGTGGTCCCATCAGGTGCTCTGGTTATGGGTCACAAAAAGGGAGCCAGGGAAGGGAGTCAGGCCTGGCGGAGCCTGCTTTGGGGGCAAGAAGTGGAAAAAAGAAACTGATGCCTTCTCCAGATTTTCTTTCTTCCACTTCATTTGTTCATTTGACACACTTTCCCCTCCCCAGCCTGCTTTTTTTGAGCATTTACTATGCTCCAGGGATTGGATCCCCCAAACTTTCCTAGCTTCTGGTTTGACTTTTGAACCCCCTTTCCCTGCCTTTGTGGCTGGATCAATTAGGGGAGGGGGAACGGGCAGTTCCTTTATGATCAGAGTTGGGGCCTTCCCTTCCTGCAGCATCCCCTCCGGAGGAAGAGGGGATGGGACAGGTTGGTGTGGAGACCAGGACCTAGCAGGGCTGGAGGGTGGTGGCAGGGGCTATGCCCAGGAAGGCGGGCTTCCCTGCCACCCCTGGCCCCTGCCTCACAGCACCTTGCCTTTCTGGGCTGGGGGTGTGGGAGGGAAGGCATCCTTCCCAGTGATAGAGAGGAAATGGTTCGGTTTTGTAATGGGTTCAACTTCTCCAAGGGCTGGTTAGGTCAGGCTGGTCTGTTTCTGGACCTCCAGAAGATGGGGAGGGGGCAGTGGAAAGACAGGGAGGAGAACTGGAGGGGCCCTGGAGCTGTGCCTGAGGTAGGGCCAGCCTCTAGTCCTCTCCATCACCCTCCCCTCCCCCAGATAGATGAAAAGCAGAGATTCAAAGTTTCAAAGTGGGGACTGCTGGGGGAGGGAGTTGGGTCAGAGCCAGCTGGGTATCACTGTGTGGAGGGACTGTCTCTCCCCATCCACCTGCTGCCAATGCATGCTCTACAGGCCCCCCTCCCCCCAAGCATCCAAAGAGGGGGACCTTTCATTGAAGGGAGAGGAACTCAGTTTCCTTCTGGAGAAAAGGAAGCTGAAACCTTCTTTATCCTTACCAACCCTCTGCTTCAGTGTTCCTGGGTTTCTGGGTCTAGATTTGCCACTTGCCTTCCACTTCTTTCTAGCCTAGATAAGGCATGTCCTCTTCCCCTTGGGTCCCCAAAATGCAGGTTCCCCACCCGGTGCCCCGCTCCCGGAGCTCCTTTGCTGCTCCAAGGCTAGGTTGCCATGTCACTCTGCCTGGCTGGCATCCACCTGCCCCTCTTCTCCAGCCAGACCAGTCCGCGAGATGAAGAGGCTGGGTTTGGGGCAAAGTGAGAGTGCTGGTGGGGGCTCATCCTTCATCAGTGCTGAGCGAGGTGATGCTATGATGCTGCGGCCAGAAGAAAACAAAGTAAGTGGGCTTTGGAGAGGGGCTGTGTGGGGTGAGGGTTTCCTTTTCCAGCCATGGGGATGTCAGCCGCTCTTCTCTCACCCTCTGGTGGGGTCTTATGGAGTGCTGTCCAGGTGGGGGGCAATGAGAGAGCTCCAGTGGGTCCTGGAAGCTTTCATGGTGTAGGGAGGAGAGGTGGTGTGAGAAAAGACTTCTCTGAATTTACAGACAAGAAAGACAGGACAGTCAAAGTACACAAATTGAAAATGGCCCTTGCCCAGAGCTAAGGGAGTCCACCTCTCCATTAGGGGGCCAGTCCTCAGGGGAACCCTGCCAAGTCTAGGGAAGGCACTGCTGGTTTGGGGGGTGGGGAGAGGAAGGCAGAAGACCCAGCTACAAAAGCCATTTCCAAGTGACTGTGAAGTGGGGAGGCCCCCCCACCTCAGATCTGCCAGGCTTCCTGCCAGAGGGGGATAGTTTGAGCTCAGAATATCACTACCCTCAGGGCCCAAACATTCCCCTCTCATGTGGAGCGGACCCAACACCCACTAAGTCGGTCAGGAGCACTGACTGTTGACAGTGTCTCTCCAAGCCAGGCAGTTTGGGCTGGGGAAGGAGCTGCAGGGTCCCAGATTGGCTCAGGTGGGGGGGGGGGGGGGGAGGTGGTGATGGGGGGTGGTGGTGTCTGAGGCTGCTGTAGTTGGAAAGGACTGAGAGGAGGGGAGTGGTAGAGTGAGGGATGTGGGAGAAAGGGAGGCCAGGTGTATGAGTGACAGCAGAGAAGGCAGAAGGCCATCTTGTGTATGGGTAGGGGGTGGGTATGAGGGGTTTGGAGGTAAAATGTGAGGACTCTGGGTTGTTCCTCCTTTCTGCTTTGGAAGTTTTTGCTACACATATTTGGCAGCTGTTTTCTATAAACACTATTTCCCAGTGGTGTCAATTGGGCAGGCACAAAAGGGAACAGAATGGAGGGGGCGTGGGTGTCTGGTCCAGAGGCAGTAATGACCTTACAGGGATGTGATCCAGGCCTCCTCCAGCTGCATGCTCCCCTTCATTTGAAACAGGAGTCTTTGTCTCCCTATGTAGACTATATTCCAGATACCCAGGAGCTAAAAGCCCGTAAGTTTGCTTCCAGAGGTGCAGTGGGCTGCCTTCCCAAATTCCTCCCCATGGGGACTGATTTTACTTCTGAGAAGGTGGTCAGAGAATGGTGGTTGGGGGATATGAACAGAGCAGTAGACAGGTATCAGGCTCTTTTGGATATAGGGTGGGGCTGAAAATAGGGGTGGCAAGACACTGGCTGAAGGGGTCCATGTCTTCTCTGGTCTCTGTTGTTAGTGTTAGGGAATAATCTGTCCATGGGGCAGGGCTGTGTGTAGGGAGGTGTAGACAGTGAAGCCAGAGGTGGGTAGTATTGCTTTTGGGCTTCTTTCTGGCGGGGAAAGTCCTGGGCATAATTTCCCTAATATGGTTCCAAAGGATAAGAGTGACATCACATTGATTTTGATGCTGCTATTTAAGAATAGCTTCAGATTTACAGGAAAAAAAATTAGAAAATATAGAGGGTCCCCACATGCTTCAATTCCCCTCTTGTTAACATTTTACACTAGTCTTGTACATTTGCTATAATTAATGAACCAATATCGATAGTATCAACTAAAGTTCATGCTTTATTCATATTTCTTTAGTTTTTACCTTCTTTTTCTGTTCTAGAGTCACATGCAAGATACCAAGTTACGTTTAGCATCGTCCTTAGATTCTCTTGGCTCTGGCAGTTCTGAGGCTGTCCTTGTTTTTGAACCCTAAAGCTGTTTCCCTTTTCATTTCATCCTTCTCCTTCTATTCAAGCAGCATGTAGTGACAGAGATTCTGGGAGGACCCCAGATTTGGGAGTGATGTGGTGATGTGTGTGCAACTGACAGAGCCTCAATGCTCTTTCTGGAATACGGGTGTGGAATGAGAACTCTAGTAGACCCAGGGGTTTAGGAGAACAAAAACAGGCCAGGAAAGAGAAAGAACCATATTGCTAAACGAACGCCACACCCTGGCTGTGCCTGCTAACTAGCGGGTAATGAAAGGGTGTCAGAAGAGGATTTAAGTGCCCGGTCCCCGGTGACGACATCGGGAGACATCTGATTGCGAGGGGCCTTTCGAGACCATCTCCACCCCCACCCCCGTGTCTACCATCCCCTGATCTCTGTAATGTGTGTCCAATCCTAAAGGAGAAATAATAAACTCACTAGTTTAATCCCTTCGCTTCCTTGCTAGCCCAGAACAAGGAACTACAATTCCCAGAAGACATCCCGGCGTGACCTGTCGCCCCTTGCATTCTGATTGGTTTACGGTTGCTTTTTGCAGCCAATTGAAACTTGACTCTTTGATAAGTGCCAAGATGGCGATGCCTACGCTCTAGAACTAGAGTGTCCGGTAGGCTTAAATTTGGGGAGGTGGTGGATGAAAAGAAAATAGGGAGCTATACTTTTAAGGTTGGGGAATTTGGCAGAAATAGGAAAGTCTGGATTAGGTCTGAGGGACGCTGCCGCAGCCGGTTCCACGGAAGTGGAACTGGTTTAACCCCTTGCTGCCCTCTTTACTCTTTGTATCAAGCCTCCATGCCTCCCTCCTCTTGGTGCTCCGGTTCAGGGAAGGATGGTTTAGGAGGGAAGAACCTGAGAGAACCCTTAACCCGCACTGTTCGCCTATTTTACTTCCCCCCTCCCCCAAACGGCTTATTTTATTTATTTATGCATATAAGAGCTGGGGTGTAGGCCAGAGGCGGGTTAGGGGGTCGGATGGTGAGATGATCCACCAGCGAAAGAGTGGGGAGCAGAACAGGCAGACTGACTGAAATGCGCTGCTGAGGGGAGCAGTGCGCGAGACAGGAGAGGTCTGCTGCGCCACATGGGTTTGGAACTGGTGCTGCAGTGGCTGCTGACAGTTTCATAATGCTGAGACTTAACCCTTGCACCTCTAGGGATGCCCTATTTTGTTTTTTAGTGCCTCTGCCTTCCTTAACCTGTCTGCATCTTCTGTCCTCCTTTCAGCTATGTCCACCTTTGTTTTTCCTCAGAGTCGCCTTTCTCCTCTAGCTTGCGTTCTCCTACCTCATAGCTGACGGCCACTGGCCCCTCCTCGGAGTGAAATCATGAAGGTGGTGAACCTGAAGCAAGCAATTCTGCAAGCCTGGAAGGAGCGATGGAGTGACTATCAGTGGGCAATCAACATGAAGAAATTCTTTCCTAAAGGAGCTACCTGGGACATTCTCAACCTAGCAGGTCTCAAGTGAAGGAGGAAGGAAGGATGGGATGGGTTAACCCTGAAAAGTTGTACATACTTAGCCTTTCTTTATTGCCCTTGCAGAAGCACTATTGGAGCAGGCCATGATTGGACCTTCCCCCAATCCTCTCATCCTGTCCTACCTGAAGTATGCCATTAGTTCCCAGGTAAACTGCCTGTCTTCTGAGGGCTTGAAAGTAAAAGATTTGGAGTGCAGTTGTCAGCTCACACTTTATAGGTGAATTTGTTTGAACACATCACTTCTCTGAGCAGTTTTCTCATGAAATTAGTAATACTTGGTGGTGGTGACTATTTCATTAACTTATTCATTCAATTAATAGTCTTGAATTCTTGTCTGTGGGTTTATAGCTGTGATCAAACCTGATCCCAACATGTTAGGAGTTTAGTGGGCAATACAGACATGTAAGAAGTAGTTTCAGGATGGGTTTATGGTATAGCTCGGCCTTAACTATGGGTCTACATGGGAGGGACACCTGAATCAGCCTGAGGAATCAGGGAAGGCTTGCTGGAGGAAGTCATGTTTAAATCAAGGCCTAAGTGTTGAGTAGTTAGCTAGGGAGATTGATGAAAGTATACAAAGAGGTATATATGTAAAGTCTGGAAGGCAAAAATCACATGATGCTGTCTAGGAATAAAGAAAAACTCGGTATAGCTAGAGTAAGAGATTTGTTCTCAGGGCCCTTTTATACACTTACAAATTATAGGTTTTCACAAGTTTTTGTTATTATACATTATTACATCTTTCCATATTTACAGTTTTAGACGTTAAAACTGAGAAATCAAGGGAATATGGATTTATTTAAAAGTAGCAGGAAAATACTGTTGTGTTAATATAAATAACTTTTAAAATAACTTTTTAATGAAAATAATCATACAGTATTAAAAAATGAGCCAAGTGGCATTGTTTTACATTTTGCAAACCTTTTTAATGCCTAGCTTAATAGAAGACTGCTGAATTCTCATATTTTGCATTTAGTTGTTGTAATAGGCTATTTTGGTTGAATAATAAAAAAATCTGGCTGTACAACATCAGGTAGTTTGAAAAGGGAGGGGTGTTTTAATAAGCTTTTCAAATAACTGAACATATTGCACTAAAACTAAGCTGGTGATGTAAAGCCAACTCAGTGAACTTTTTATACTCATTAAAAGCTATTGGTCTCTCTCTTGCACTTTGAGTAGACATTTTTCACCCCATCAGTGATTTCGTAATATGGATCGGCCATTTGGGAAATATCCATTACTGAGTTATACAGACATTCCAATTGTTGACATGTTATATAATGTCATGTGTTGTAGAGCCTCTGGAACTTTGCATGTACAGTTGTGAGAAGGAGCGTGAAATAGGCAAATAACATTTTTGTCGTATTTTAGAATTAGTTTCTTTTAATAAAGATTTTATTTATTTATGCATACAGAAATGGGGTACAGGCCAGAGGTGTGTGGGGGGGATGAGAGGATTCACCAGAGACAGTAGGAAGCAGAACAGGCAGACTGACTGAAACATACTGCTGAGGGGAGCAGTGAGGGGAGCAGTGGGAGAGACAGGAGGGATCTGCCACGCCATGTGGATCAGCTCCCTGGCTGGGATCAGACTCATGCTGCAGTGGCTGCAGAGAGCTTCAGAGCCTGCACTTCAGCCCCTTGCACCACCAGGGAGGATCCTGCCTTTTTTTATTTAGCATAAATGTTTTTGAGATGTATTTATGTGGGTAGTAGTCCATTTTTTAAAAAAGATTTATTTGTTTATGCATACAGAACTAGGATACAGGAGCTTCATAGTACTGTGTTTTAACCCATTGTGCCACCAAGGAGGGGCCCCATTCCCCCATTCTTTTTTTTAAGTAGCTAAATAGTATCTCTTAGTTCACATATAGTTCTTATATTTGCTTTTCCTTTTGGCTTCATCTCTGCTTTCTATGTTTAGCACATAATCATTTATCATTTTTTTTAAAAGATTTATTTATTTATGCAAACAGAACTGGGGTACAGGCCAGAGGTGCAGGGGCGGTGAGAGGATTCATCAGAGACAGAGAGGAAGTATAACAGGCTGACTGACAAAGTACACTGCTGAGGGGAACAGTGGACAGGTCAGGAGAGGTCTGCCATGCCATAGGGGCTGGGGATGGAATTCATGCTAAAGTGGCTTAAGCTTCTTAGTGCTGTGCTTTAACCCATTGCGCCACCAGCGAGGGCTCTATCAGACCTTTTTTTTTTTTTTTAAAGATTTTATTTTATTTGTACATACAGAACTGGGGTACAGGCCAGAGGCTCAGGGGCGATGAGAGGCTTCACCAGAGACAGAGTGGGGAGCAGAACAGGCAGATCTACGAAGTACACTGCTGAGGGGAGCAGCGGGCGGGTCAGGAGAGGTCTGCCGCGCCATGTGGTCACCTCTGGGGCAGGCAGAGATCGAACTCATGCGGAAGTGGCTTTAGCTTCTCAGTGCAGTGCTTTAACCCGCTGTGCCACTAGGGAGGGCCCCTATCAGACCTTTTAAAAAAAGTTTTATTAACTTATGCATACAGACCAGGGGTATAGGCCACAGGTGTGAAGGGGAGATGAGAGGATTCACCAGAGATAGAGTGGGGAGCAGAACAGGCAGATTGACTAAGTACACTGCTGAGGAGAACAGCAGGCGAGACAGGAGAAATCTGCTGCGCCATGTGAGTCTCCTCAGCCGGGATCAAACTCCTGCTAAAGCAGTTGCAGCTAGCTTCATAGTGCTGCGCTTTAACCTGTTGCATCACCAGGGATGACCCTATCTTACTTTTTTTTAACTGCTGTATCATACTGACATGCATTGTAATTAAAGTATTTTTTAAAGATTTATTTATGTATACAAGAACTGGGGTGCAGGCCAGAGGTGTGTGAGGTGAAAGGATTCAGCAGAGATCTGCTGTGCCTTGTGGTTCACTTCCCTTGCTGGGGATTGAACTTGTGCTGCAGTTGCTGCTGATAGATTCATAGTGCTGCTCTTTAATGTGTTGTGCCACCAGTGAGGGCCCTGTGTTTTAATTTTGGAAGCATCATTTTGGTTGCAGTTTGAAGAGTGAGTTGAAGGAAGATAAGACAAATGCAATAGATCTATAAGGCTGGCATATTTTTTCTGTAAAGGAAAATATGCAGTCTCAGCTTGGCAGGCTGTATAGTCTCTGTCACACTATTTTGTCATTTTTTAAAAAAGATTTGTTTATTTATTCATACAGAACTGGGGTACAAGCCAGAGGTGCAGGCGCAGTGAGAGGATTCCCCAGAGACAGAGTGGGGAGCAGAACAGGCTGATGGATGGAATGCACTGCTGGGGGGAGCAGGTCATGAGAGGTCTTACACGCCATGTGGGTCACCTCTGGGACTGGGACTCACACTCCCACTGAAGTAGCTATGGCTGGCTTGCGGTGCTTTAACCTATTGTACTACCAGGGAGGGCCCTGTCATTTTAGCTCCAAAGAGGAGGTAGACATTATGAAAAAATTGGCATGGCTGTGTTCTGATAAAACTTTATTTGGGCCCTCCCTGGTGGTGCAGCGGATTAAAGCACAGCACTAAGAAGGTTAAGCCGCTTCCGCATGAGTTCGATCCCCGCCTGCCCCGGAGGTGACCACATGTTGTGGCAGACCTCTCCTGACCCCCCCGCTGCTCCCCTCAGCAGTGTACCTCTTCGATCTGCCTGTTCTGCTCCCCGCTCTGTCCCTGGTGAATCCTCTCACCCTCTGCATCTCTGGCCTGTACCCCAGTTCTGTATGAATAAATAAATAAATCTTAAAAAAAAAAAAAACAACTTTATTTGCAAAAACGGTGATAAGTCAGGTCTGGCTATGGACACCCCCCCCCCCTTTCCTGCTTTATGCTATTGCAGTAATTCAGAGAAGAAATGAGACCAGCATAAACTTGGGGAGAGGCAACAGGAAAAAACAGTGAATTGGGGAGTGATTTAGGAAGTGACATTGAACAGATGTGGTGATTCCCAGGATGCGAGACCTGAGGAAGAGGGAGATAGCAAGGCTGGTGCCTGGGCTTCTGGTCACGTGACTGGACTGCTGTGGGGCACAGGGAGTAAGGCAGTGCTTTTGTACGTGGGGGCCGGGGAGGGGGGATGGTACCTTCAGTTGCCATCTGAGTAGGCGGAGGCCCCTCTGGGGGCTACCAGAGAGAAGGTGCTCAATGGGCACTGAATAGAACGGCTGGAACTCAGAAGGAGGGGATAGCTGGAGCTGAGGAGGCGTTGCTGCAGGTGCTAGCTGCAGACGTGGGTGTGGTGAGGTGGCCCCAAGATTGTGGCGAGCGAGCCAGCAGGTGACCAGGCTAAATGCCCAGGGAGCCTGTCATGATTGAGTAAGGCTGAGGGAGGTATCCACAGAGGCCAAGGTAGGAGAGGACTGAAGATACGGAAGAGTCATGTCAGGTGCCGCGAGGAGTCAGCATGGAGGACGGCCACAAGGCTCACACCAGGAGTCTGTTCATGACTCAGGAGGAGATTCCCCGTGTGGCGAGGGCAGCGGGGGTTGGAGTGCATCAAACTGCAAGCAGAAGGTGGTCGGGTAGAGACAGTGATTGCAGAAAACTCTTGGTTCTGTGACAAGTAGGAGAGGAAGGTGGTTGGTTGGAAATGTCAGGTCAGTGGGAAGTTCTTTCAAAAAACATGAATCTTGAGGTGTGTAAACACTGATGGGAAAGACAAGAGGGAGAAAAAAAAGATGCTGAAGTAAGCCTGAGAGGGAAATAAATACACGTGCAGGACCTCCACAACTTGTAAAGTGCTGTGCCAAGTTAGTCACTGATTCTTCTTCAGTGTCAAGAGGCTCTTGGGTCCAGGGCTCTGCATGTGGAGAGCTCTCAGGGCCGAGGGTGTCGCAGGGGAAGAAGCAGCGGGATTAGCGAGCAGCTGCGGGGTCAGCCCGGGCGGGCCAGGTGTCCATGGGCCACAGACAGCCTGGCCCGGGACGGTGGTGGTGTGGCGCTTCCCTGTGGATAGCTATCCCGAGACTGAAATAGGTTAAATCCTGCTATGAAAAACACTTCACCACGTGGAAAGTATTTTTAGGCCTCTGGAGTAGCTGTGCCTTATTGATACAGTTAGCAAAAACTTCCCAAGTGGAAGTCTGAATTTGGAAAGCTTAGTTCACTTTAGCTGGCGGCGTTTCTCAGAAGATACAAGATTGAGCCTTTCTCTTCTGGTGGTTTGGGGGTCCCTTTCCATTGGGGACGTCCAGCTCCCCCTTCAGGTTGGTGTCAGGAAGGCTCAGTGCCCTGCCAGGTGCTTGCTATGGGGACATGGGTATAAATAAACACGCACTGGCCCGAACGCGTGGTCATCCTCCCCAGGCAGACGCCCGACTTTCTGGTCACTGACAGGCCAGCTGTGGCTTCACAGTACATCCCAGGCCTCGCCAGCGCGTCTGGCCTCGTGGCACTGAACACCGGTCTTGTGCTTGAGTCCTCTGTGTGTTTTGCTCCTGTTTATCCAAGAACACTGGTTAAAGAGGTCTGAACAGCGCACTTTCTGTTCCCATGTTGGAGAAACTGCAGAAGGTTTTGCCTTGCATGAAATTTGCTGATAAGATCATGCAAGCTGACTTAGCTTTCTGAAATCTTGGAAATTTCTATTCCGCTAGTTAGACAACACATGAAGCAGCTGAGTATCCTAAGTTCTGTCATTGTTTCCTGTTTTTGCCTTCTTTTTAAAATGTCTTTTGTGATTTTGAGTAGACCATTGTAAATACTTTCCATAGTCCAGTTCATATTTTATTAGCATATCAAATAATTTTTTAAAAAATATAACAATTTTAAAAAACCTTTGCTGTAGGGTTCTATTTCTTTGTTTATGCATACAGAACTGGGGTCTAGGCCAGGGGGTGAGAGGATTCACCAGAGACAGAGTGGGGAGCAGATCAGGCAGATTGGCCAGAATACATTGCGGAGGGGAGCAGTGGGCAAAACAGGAGATGTCTGCTGCACCGTGTGGGTCAGTGCCCTGGCTGGGGATTTTGTGGTGGCTGCGGACAGCTTCACAGTGCTTCATTTGAACCCCATGTGCCACCAGGGAGGCCCTGTAGGGTTTAATTTCATCCAGGGCAAATTCTTTTCCTTTGGAATGTCGCCAATCTTATGACGGTGATGCGTGGGTTTTACTCACAGAAATTTGTTTGAAGGTAACATTTTGCCAGAATGCAGGCAGTTAATTGAAGTCATCAACCCAAAACAATAAAAACTGACTGAGGGCCTGCTATGTGTTGGTCCCTGGGCTAGTGCTAGAGACACAGATAATTTCAATACTCTTTCTATTCTCAGGGAGTTCCCTGGTCAGGTAGAATTTCCCAAAATATATTTTGGAAATGCTAGTTAGATGAAATTCCTTGGTCAGATAATTAGAAAAGTAGTCCTTGCTTCATCCCGGTCACTTTGGAGCAAGTATATAGTGGTCCTGAGAATTCCTACAGGGGCCCTCCCTGGTGGCGCCAGTGGATTAAAGCATAGCACTATGAAGCTAGCTGCAGCCGCTTGGGGGGGGGGTCACCCCCACCTTCGGGGTGACCCACATGGCATGGCAGACCTCTCCTGACCCACCTGCTGCTCCCCACTCGGTCTCTGGTGAATCCTTTCACCGCCCCTGCCACTTCTGGCCTGTACCCCAGTTCCGTATGCATAAATAAATAAATCTTAAAAAAAAATTCCTACAGAAAGAAACCTTTTACATATGTTTCTATCCAGATTTTCTTGAGTTTGTATAACATAGGTGCTCTCAGTGTGCATGTGTATGAAATTTTTAACATCTTAAGGGCCCTTTGGTTCAACATGCTAGAAACTTCAATGGTGATGAAAGTGTCCTGTGCAGGCCACCCAGTGACTGTCCAGTGGTTGAAATGTGGCTAGTAGGAAGTGCATTTTACATTTCATTTTACTATTTTATAAGTTTTTAGGATAATTTATTGACTATTAAATTAATGAATAACTAATTTAAATGTAAATGTAAGCAGCCACATGTGATGAAGTGGTTTTCCGATTAGACAGTGCAACTTTGGGAAATGCCGGGTAAAAGTGTGTTTTTAACTTCTGCAAACATCTGCAGCAAGGTCATGGTGGTCACTGGGTAGATGTGTCCTTGCCCTCATGGAGTTCCCCACTTGGTGGTGGCAGCAAGCATCCCGTGTGGTGACAAGCAGACGGGGTTACTTGGAGCACAGAGGAAGGACTTCAGCCTTGAGGGGGAGGTTGCGCTGATCAGAGAAGGTGCCACAGGAGCCCTAGAGAGCAGTAGGCAGGTGAGGAAACACACCCGTGTCCAGGGGCAGGCGCTGCCTGTGTGGTACGCAGTGTTTTGTCTTGGGCTTGTGAGGACACAGTCACCTTTGGCAGGACTTGCAGGAATAGAAGTGAGACTTCATGCTCGTTCATCCTTCCGTCCACTTGCAGTCAGTTAAGCCTGCGTAGAGTGGGCTGTGAGAGGCACCTTTGAGTACCCCCAAATCACCTCCGTGGGTTTATGCTGATGATGTCATTTGCACTGGGTCTGAGAGAAGGGGGTTAGGTCACAGTGCCTCGTGTGACTGCCTCTGTTTTGTTTATTATCTTTTTTTTTTTTTTAAAGATTTATTTATTTGTGCATACAGAATTGGGGTACAGGCCAGAGGCTCAGGGACGGTGAGAGGCCTCACCAGAGACAGAGTGGGGAACAGAACAGGCAGATCGACGAAGTACACTGCTGAGGGGAGCAGCGGGCGGGTCAGGAGAGGTCTGCCACGCCATGTGGTCTCCTCCGGGGCAGGCGGGAATCGAACTCATGCGGAAGTGGCTTCAGATTCTCAGTGCTGTGCTTTAACCCGCTGCGCCACCAGGGAGGGCCCTGTTTATTATCTTTTTAATAAATGAACATTATATATTTTATGAATTGCGCCTGTTCTTTTTAAATGCCCACCAGAAGCATATTCATAGTAGTCATCAATGCAAGATTAAATTAACATGCATATTTGGACAACTAGGTCACAGACATAGATCAGTGAGTCTGCCTCTGTCTTAGTGGGCAGAGGAAGGGGTCAAGGTTTTAGGAGTGCTGCACCACTGTTCCTTGGTGTTCTGGTTCCTCTCAGCTGTGGGGCTCTGCTGATCTGACCTGTATGTTTCTTGCCCTCCAGATGGTGTCCTACTCCTCCGTCCTCACAGCTATCAGTAAGGTATGACCACGGCCACTGGTGGGGCGGGGCAGAGGCCCACTAGTGGCAGGCAGGGCCCACTTGGGGGTCCCTCAGCCTCTGACGGGCAGTTCACGTGGCTCCACTGGCCTTGCTGCTTCCGTTGGCGGCATCGGGTCCTGGAAACAGGACCGCCAAGTAGCCAATCCAGTGTTAAAAGGATCCAAGTTGGAAACCTGAGACTGGAAGTAGACGACAGCGTTCTGAAGGAGCAAGACTGCCCCAGGCACATCTGCCCCAGTGCGGCCACGGGGGGCTGACTGGGGTGGTCCCCGCATCTCCGTGGTTCTCTCCACAGTTTGATGACTTTTCCCGGGATCTGTGCGTCCAGGCTCTGCTGGATATCATGGATATGTTTTGTGACCGGCTGAGGTAATGAAGGGTGAGGCCTCCCACCTCCCAGCGTTGTCCTGTGTGAGGCGGCCGCTCCTGGCACAACCCGAGACCCCCGAGACCAGCCCTGGGGTTGGTGCCCTTCTTCCCCCGGCTGCCCACCCACCCCCATCCTGGTCCATTTACTCCCTTAGGACAAGAAGGCTCTTCCCTCTTTTCAGGTAGCTCACTTGAAATCTTGTCCAGTGGGCGCCAGCAGGGCAAAGTGTCTGCCCAAGGACAAGGACTTTGCTGGCTTCCCAGCTCACTCTCTTCCCTCTAGGGGAGGGCCAGGCACACAGGGGGAGCATGGGTGTGGGTCGGATGTCAGCCTTGGGGCCCAGACAGATCCTGCTGCCTTCTCTCCCCCGCAGCTGTCACGGCAAAGCCGAGGAGTGCATCGGGCTGTGCCGGGCCCTTCTCAGCGCCCTCCACTGGCTGCTGCGCTGCACTGCAGCCTCTGCAGAGCGGCTGCGGGAGGGGCTGGAGGCGGGCACCCCAGCCGCCGCGGAGAAGCTGCTGGCGCTGTGCCTGCAGCGCCTGGAGAAGACCCTCAGCAGCACCAAGAACCGGGCCCTGCTGCACATCGCCAAGCTAGAGGAGGCCTGTATGTGCCCTGGCTCCCTCGTGCCCCACCTGCCACTGCTCCCATAGCTGGTTCTTTTAATTGAGAGGGGAGAGGCAGGTTGCCATCCCACTTCTTTCCAGAAGGATCCGAAATCATCCCACTTCCTTTTTTTTCTCCCCATAAGCATTGCATACATCCCAGGGACTTGGGCAGGGTGGCACCCGAGCCAATCAACCAACAGGTATTTACTGAGCATTGTTATATGCCCAGCACTGTGCCAGGTGCTGGGGGCGGGGGGCAGGGGGCTACCAAAGAAGCATGTGGCAGGGTCCCTGCCTTCAGCAAGCCTACGTGCCAGTGGGGAGCGAGACTGGCACGTAGATGTGTGAGGAGATGAGAGGCCGAGACAAGCATACCGCCTGCCCGCCTTGTGTTTGGCTCCGTGGTAACTCATGAGCCTGTGAGTGGCACCTCAGCTGGCCTGTGCGTGGCACCTAGCTGGCCTGTGAGGTATGGGCACTGCCTGCCCTCAGGCCTGGCGTGCTGCACACCTCTCAACTCAAGTGCAAGTGTGGACCCGGGGAAGCTTCCAGAGCCTGAGAACAGACTGATCAGCTGGTGGGAGGGAAGATTGGTATTTCTGGACATGGCACCCAGAGGCCATAGTCTTGCTGTGGCTTGGGACCCCTAAGACTCTCGTTCTCCAGTCACCAGATAGCTAGGCTGCATTATTCCGAGGTCTCAGGAGACCTGAGGCTCTCTGCCCTGGCTGGGGAACTTACTGTAGGATTAGTCTGTTCTACCTCAAAACATGCTGCATTGTCAGTGAAAAGTCCAGAAAGATGATCATGGTGTGGAGATGTTAAGTTTCTTACCTGTCTCGAGCACTTGACAAATGTTTCCTGACTGAAAAGTGAATGAGTTTTTAACTGAATGGACCTCAAGTCTTATGTTTTTGTCTCCTCCCACCCCCATGCCATGTGGCGGTTAGTGGGCAAGCTGGTGCTACTGTTGATCATTTGACCCTCTGGAATTGTGGGACAAGTGACGACTTCTGATTAGGTGTATAAATGGCGCAGTGTAGCCGGGAGGGCAGGCGATTAGGAGGGTAGTGCAGGCTTGCACAGTGGGGTAAGTGGTGAGAGGAGCTGGGCTTGAACCAAGACTTGAAGGGCCACAAGGGTGAGAGAAGGGAAGTGAGAGGAAAGGCTTCCCAGCGGTGGGGGCCGTGCCAGCAGGGGCTGCAAGGAGTGGGCTGGGGAGCTGCCTGGGAGAGGAGTCACACCACTGCTGGCCCCCTGAAGTGCGGTGTGGCCCCCTCCCTGTCCAGTCACTGGCCTCCCACCTCCCTGGGCACCACCTCTGCCCGCGAGAGGCCAGACCTGGGCCCTCAGGCCAGCTGTGTGCCTCCGCTGGAGGTCAGGCCTCTGGGAACGGGCTCTCGGGTGTCTTCTGGGTTGGTGTCCACTGTTGGTGCTCATTCCCCTTCTGGAAACAGTGCATGCTGTCCTCAGGCTCTTGGCCTCCACATCACCCTGAGGGAAGCCTCCCTTCCTGGTTTTGTGGGCCTAGCGGGTGCTGAGCGTTGGGGCAGTGCTGCTCTGTCCTCATGTGTTTCTGCGCTTCCTTTCCTCCACCAGCCTCCTGGACGGCCGTGGAACATTCCCTCTTGAAGCTTGGGGAGATCCTGGCCAGTCTCAGCAACCCCCAGCTCCGGAGCCAGGCTGAGCAGTGTGGCTCGCTAATCAGGAGGTACCTGGTTCCCAGGGTGGCTGCGGTGAAGCACGAGAGACCCACCACTGAGTGCGGGTGGGCAGAGGTGGCCCCGGCCCCAGCCCCCGCCCCCGCCCTCTCGGGCTCTTCCTGGCCCCGCTAACCCCGTCCCCTGCCCTCAGCATCCCCACCATGCTGTCCATGCACTCGGAGCAGCTGCACAAGACCGGCTTCCCCACAGTGCACGCGGTGGTTCTGCTCGAGGGCACCATGAACCTGACGGGCGAGATGCAGCCCCTGGTGGAACAGCTGATGATGGTGAAGCGCATGCAGGTGGGGCCGGAACTGCTCCTCTTTCCCTGAGGCCCTGGCCAGGCGTGGGTAGGAGGGCGGCTCCTCCTGGCCCTCTGAGCAGCTTCCTGGGCTTCCTCCTGGTTCATGCTAGAAGGTGGGGCCAGCCCTGCCCATGGCTGCCATTGTACCTCACGTCCCAGGTCCTCATGTGAGAGTGGGGGGTGCCCAGCCAGGCCTGAGATGACTGTGGGGTGCACTTTCTTACATTTCACCCTTGATCTCGCCGCAGCATATCCCCACCCCGCTTTTCGTCCTGGAGATTTGGAAAGCTTGCTTCGTGGGGCTCATTGAATCTCCAGAGGGGATGGAGGAGCTCAAGTGGACAGCTTTCACCTTCCTCAAGGTACCTGACACGCGAGCACTGTGGTCCAGGAAGAGCGGGAACGCCGCGGCCCTTCGCCCCGTGCTTCTGCCCACTGGCGTGGTGCCCAGCCTGCCAGGTCCTCCAGCACACATTGCCATCGATTGCTTTCTCTGCAAGTCCCCGGGCTATATTTAGCCCACTTGGCAGGCCTCTGCCTTTCTTAGTACGGAGCCGCCATGCAGCCCTGTGATCGGCCAGACTGGTCCAGGCAGCAGGGAGGAAGAGGAGAGGGTCCTGGACCTCAGAACCGGGTCCACCTTGCTGGTGCCCCACCTGTTGACGGATGTTGGGTCCTGAAGGCTGAGGATGCCTGGCATGTGGGTCTCTGCTAGCTTGCTGGTCTGTCAAGGAGTGCTCTTGCCTTTGTTTTTTCCCCAAAGAAATCTGTTTATGCATATAAGAACTAGAGTTTAGGCCAGAGGTAAGGGTCAGAGGATTCACCAGAGACAGAGTGGGAACAGAACAGGCAGGTCTTCTGAAATGCACTGCTGGTGGAGGCAGCAGGCAGGACAGGAGAGGTCTGCTGCGCCCTTTGGGTCACCTCGGGGGCCAGGGATGGAACTCGTGCTGCAGTGGCTGCGCACAGCTTCACAGTGTTGCAGCTTCACCCCGGCACCACCAGGGAGGGCCCTGTCAAGGAGTACTTTCACTTCAGGACAGGAGTGGTCTTGTCTCTGCTCAGAGCAGGGGGCAAGGGGATGCCTTTAGTTCTGAGTGAAAGAGAGAAGAAATTGAGCTTCCTCTTTACCCCCTACCTCACCTTCCAGATCCCACAGGTTTTGGTGAAGTTGAAGAAATACTCTCATGGCGACAAGGTGAGTTGCAGAGATGAGCTGGGTGGCGTGGGAGCAGGTGAGTCCTTGTGTCTGACCTACAGAAGCAGGGCTACGGAGGTACCCGCAGAATTGGGGTGGACCTGGGAGAAGCCAGCAGCTCATGCACCTGAGTGTCTGCATCCTCAGACGCCCCCTATGCTGGGCTGAGCCCCCCAGGAGGCCCTTCTGGGAGCGCTGGCTCCTCATGCTTCACCCCTCCAGCCACTGGCAGTCACGGGGACAGGCTTGCAGGCCTGTACGTACAGCAGGGGCCCCTGTGGGCTTGCGGCCCAGGTGTGGGGGGCTGTTGGACCTCGCAGGCAGGTGGCAGTTTCTGACTCTGCAGGACTTTACTGAGGATGTCAACTGTGCTTTTGAGTTCCTGTTGAAGCTCACGCCCCTGCTGGACAAAGCTGACCAGCGTTGCAAGTACGAGCCCCTGCTCCCTGCCCCCTCCCTGGCTCTTCCCCCGCTTTTCTGCCAGACCAGCCTGGGGATTGTCTCCTCCTTGCTCCCCTTGTAGTTGCCAAGGACCCCAGCTCTTCTCCCCTCCAGAGCCTTCTTTATCTTATTTAAAGATTTATTTATGTTTGCATACAAGAGGGGTGTAGGCCAGAGGTGTGGGGGGGTGAGAGACAGAGTGGGGAGCAGAACAGATGGATCTACTGAAGCACACTGCAGAGGGGAGCAGCAGGTGAGACAGGAGAGGTCTGCTGCGCCATGTGGGTCACCCCCTGGCCGGGATGGAACGTGGGCCGTGGTGGCTGGTGGTAGCTTCATAGTGCTGAGCTTTAACCCCTGTGCTACCAGAGGCCCCCCAGAGGCCCTCTTTCTAAAGAAGGGAGGCTCTTTGGTCCTGCCTCCTTCCTCCCCGGAACCCCCTCCACGCTGCTGTGGCCCCAGTACCTCTTCCTGTTTCCCTCACAGCTGTGACTGCACGGACTTCCTACTCCAGGAATGCAGCAAGCAGGGGCTTCTGTCTGAGGCCAGTGTGGACAACCTTATGGCCAAGCGGTAAGTGTGAGGCCATGTGGGCAGTTCACAGGTACCCTTGACCTCGCTCTCTCAAGAAGGTTTGGCTCCTGGGTACTTTTTCCTTCTAGCATCTGGGTTGCAGCTGACAGGGACCGGGCCTGGAGTTACCAGGGGCAAGAGACCCTGATTTCATGCTCAAGGGTACCACATTTTAATTCTTGCCCTCCTGTGTGATCAAAATAAAATGCCCACACCTTCCTTCAATCCCGAGTGGATATTCTTTTTTTTTTTTTTTTAAGATCTATTTATGTTGCACCTCTTCAACCGGGGGTGAAGGCCAGAGGTGTGGGGGTGAGATTCACTAGAGACAGAGTGGGGAGCAGAACAGGTGGATCGACTGAAATCTACTACTGAGGGGAGCAGCAGGTGGGTCAGGAGAGGTCTGCTGGGACATGTGGATCAGCTCCCTGGCCAGGGGTCGAACTCGTGCTGTGGTAGCTGCTGATGGCTTCATAGTGCTGAGTCAGGGAAACCTGAGTGAACTTTTGAATTAGATGTAATGGCCAGTGAACAACTTTGATTGTAGTATCAGATGGTGTTCACAGACTTCACCCTGACCCCATCGCTGCCCCTGGCCCCACCTTGTGCCTCTTCTGGGACTTCCAGGGTGCGTGCCTGGAACTTACCTTTCCTCCTCTTTCCTGGTCTTGGCCACAGCACAGCAGACCGGGAGCACGCCCCGCAGCTGAAGTCAGGGGAGAACGCCAACATCCAGCCCAACCCCGGGCTGATCCTCCGGGCAGAGCCCACCGTCACAAACATCCTCAAGGTGAGCTGAGCCGCCCTTCTTGGGGAGCCCGGGCCGCGCTTCCGTTCTGCTGCTGCTTCGAGATGATAGAGGTCCCCGTCCTCATCCTGCCTGTGCACATCGCTGCTCTGGGAGTATAGCCCGGAGAGCAAGGGCTGCTATTGTCGGAAGTTGGCATTGGTTGAGCTCACCTGCGGCTGGGCACTGAGGGAGGTGCTTTGACGTGGGTCAGGGTGGTGGGAGCAGCGGGGACCCTCCCAGCAGTGAAGGCATCCGCCCCAGCCCACCACCATCGCACCAGTTTAGTCAAGGATGACGGATTAGAGAGCGGGTTAGATTCCAGGAAGCTTTCCAGATTGGAGTCAAAAGTGCAGGTCACAGCGCAGGTGTGGCCCCCTGTTGAACAAAAGCGTGCAGGAGAAACTGTGGCTAGGCTGTATCTAGGGGTCTTCAGTGGTCTTCAGGCCTTGACTTCCTGTTGTATCCCCAGACAATGGATGCAGACCACTCCAAGTCCCCGGAGGGGCTGCTGGGGGTCCTGGGCCACATGCTGTCCGGGAAGAGCCTGGACTTGCTGCTGGCTGCTGCTGCCGCCACTGGGAAGCTAAAGTCCTTTGCCCGGAAATTCATCAAGTAAGGAAGGCCAGCTAGGGGAGGCATGTCTGAGGAGGTAGCAGAACTGAGGTGACATCCTGGGGTCAGCGTTTGCCCGGAGAGGCCTTGCCAAGGGCGAGCATCTGCTGGGGACCTTGGAGGAAGGTGGCTGTCTGGCCAGCAGTGCCCTCTTCCCTTCAGCCGGATGGGGGGTGGGGGCGGGCGTTTGCTGAGTGAACAGCCCCGTCAGTGGGCATGGTGAGGTTCTGCGTGTGCCCCATTCTTAGGGGGCTGTCAGATTCTGCCGACTGTTTTGGTTGGCTTGGAGATTTTCGATTGTTCCTTTCAGTGAGCCATTCTCTAGGTCTTAGAAATCTTTTAAAAATCAATTCCTTTTTCTGTATCAGTGGTTGACGTTAAGTTCTACCTGTAATCCAGACTGTGGTAACCACCCTCTGGGCAGATTTAGCTCCCAAGCCTGGTGTTGCTCAGTTTTTGCCTGGTTGACGTGACCTTTCTCCATTCTTTTCCCAGTTTGAATGAATTCACAACACACAGCAGCGGAGAGAGCAGTAAGTCAGCTCTGAGCCCCCAAGCCTGCCCAGCCCTGAAGGAGGGTGACAGGGAGAGCGCGACGGGGGGAGATGTCTGTGTTCTCCCTGCACAGGCTGTTTGGTCCTCTGAGTGATGACTGACTGAAGCTTTTGGGGAGCCTTGAAACCAGTTAATGCTGGGAAAAGGATTCCTCTAAAACTCCCCTTTGTCTCGGCCCCACCCCTTTATGGTTTGGTTGGCTGTTAGGGGGCAGGAGGGTGTCAGGAGCCTTGGTTAGAAGGAAAGGATGATGTTTCAATTAAGACCCAAGGAAAGGATTCTGAGCCTCAGAGCTTTGAAGGAGCCACCTGGTCCCTGACCTTCCTTGAGGCAAATCCTGACCCCCCAGCTCAGAGGGGGCTCCATCCCTGCCCTGGGCTGCGGGTCAGCCTCCGTGTTCTTCACAGCCAAAGCAGCCTCGGTTCGAGCCTTGCTCTTTGACATCTCCTTCCTCATGCTGTGCCATGTGGCCCAGACCTATGGCTCTGAGGTGAGTGAGGCGAGCAGGGCATGCGGGACACCAAGTGCAGGAGGCGGAGAGCAAGGAGAGGCCCAGCGTGGCTCCCTCCCCGGCCCCCAGCTGCCTCTGAGGCAGTTAGTGCTACTGGCCCTGGGTCAAGTGTAGGATGTCCTCTTGGTTACAGCCCAGCCTTCCCCCACTCTGGCCACTAGGTGGCAACATCGCCTTGTCTTCTCTGAGACCAGTGTGTCCTGCTCAGCTCAGTGAAGGGAAGCGGCGGAGCAGGAAACTGAAGTGCAGGGTGTGCCCTTCCCTTCTTCTCCCAGGTGATTCTGTCTGAGTCAAGCACAGGAGCAGAAGTGCCCTTCTTTGAGACCTGGATGCAGACCTGCATGCCTGAGGAAGGCAAAATCCTGAACCCGGACCACCCATGCTTCCGTCCCGACTCCACCAAAGTAGAGTCCCTGGTGGCCCTGCTCAACAACTCCTCAGAGATGAAGCTGGTGTCAGTGCCCGGGTGCCCTCACTGAGGCGGCGGTGGGGTAGAGCCAACACTCTCTCACCCCATCCTCCCCTCCCAGTGGTGATTCTTCTCCCATCTGTCCCCTTGTAGGCAGATGAAGTGGCATGAGGCCTGTTTCAGCATTTCAGCGGCCATCTTGGAAATCCTCAATGCCTGGGAGAATGGGGTGCTGGCCTTCGAGTCCATCCAGGTAGCCCACCTTTCCAGCCGCCTTCCTTCTTCCTTGAGTCACAGAGCTTGTCTTAGATACATTGTTCATATATATATACATACATATAAAGACATATGTATGTATATATATAAAGATTTTTAAATTTTATTTATTTTTTTAAATGAGTTTTTTTTTTTAAAGATTTATTTATTTATTCGTACAGAACTGGTGTACAGGCCAGAGATGCGGTGGGTGAGAGGCTTCACCAGAG